GGAAGATCCTCAATGAGATGGATTGACACAGTGGCTGCAATGATGGCTCAGATATAGCAATGACTGTGAGGATGGCACAGGACCAGATAGTGTTTCATTCTGTTGTACTTAGGGTTGCTATGAGTAGGTTCTGACTAGACAGGACCTTCCAACAACAGCAGCAACTAACACACATATATATGTATGTATGTGTATAGTACGTATATATATATATATATATATATTTATGTGTGTGTGTGTAAGGAATTGGCTTATACAATTGTGTGGGCTAGGAAGTCGGAATTTTTTAGGGTAGGTAAGCAGCTTGGAAACTCAGCAAGAGTTGATATTCCAGGCTTAAATCCAAAATCTGCAGCCAGACCAGCAGGCTGGAAAATTAACCAGGATTTTATGTAATAGTCTTGAGGCAGAACTCTTTCTTCTTCAGGAGAGCTCAGTGTTTATTTTTAAAGTCTGCAAGCGAATAGATGAAGACCACTCATGTTATCAAGGATAATATCCATTACCTAAAGTCAAGTGATTATGAATGTTTATTGCATCTACAAAACACCTTCACAGGGACATCTAGACTAGTGTTTGCCCAAACAACAATAAACTTGTCACCATAACTTAGGTAAGTGCACACATAAAATTAAAGACAACAAGTACCTGGATGCACAGAATTCTAAAAGCAGAAGATAGAATTATGAGTAAGCTTCCAGCTTGAAAGGAAAATATACATTATTGAAGAAGAAAAGAGTTAATTATTAAATAATTGATAGAGTGTGATAAATGCACTATGTTCTTTGAAAGACAAAGAGTGATTTATTACTTGTTTACTGAAAAGTGACATTAAAACTAGAATTTGAGAATAAATAATATCAGAATAAAAAATGGATATTGGGAAAAATCATCTTGGGAGACAAAATGAACTAGATTGACTTACAGTATAAAAGGGCATGCTGTATATGGATATTCCTATATCATTTATTATTTTTAGAGCCTAATAATGTTTGCAGTGGAGATGTTGTGAGTAGGCAAGAAGAGTTGTTGTTTCCTAAAATTATAAAGGGTAGTGTATGACTTGTTGAAAATTGTACATTTTCTTATAGGCAAAAAAGAATCATTAAAAATTTTTCTTTTTTTCCATAGAGAAGTAATCAGCTATGTATTGACCACTCTAGAGGCAACGTGGCCAATAATTTGGGAGGAAGAACTGGAGAATAGGAGCTCCATTATGAAGTCATTGTATTCCTTTGGTTGAGGCATAAGGAGATCTTGAAAGAAGATACTATAGCAGTTTTACTAGGGGGTGGGGGAAGATTTGATATAGTTACTAACTGACCGTAAAGATGAAGAAAAGAGAGAGAAGTTACATAAACTTCAGAAGTTTCTAGCTAAGACAAATGTTCTGATGGTGATGCTGTTAACTGTAATTGAGAAAAATATCAGAGTGCAGGCATGTGCAGAGGAGAGGAAGAAGGACCGACAATGAATTCGGTTTATCGCAGCTTCCTAGACAACACCAAAGCAATAATTTTTACTAGAGAGCTGGCAATACTGGTCTGAAGTTTTTCAGAAGCTGGAGCTGGAGGTTTAGAGTTGGGAGTTATTAGCATATATATATAGATAATGGTTTAAAGTGAATGTTTGTATTTATAATATTATTAAATTGAGTCAACAATATTGGAAATCCTGAGGCAGAGATTAAGGCGGGTTATGAGTTTAGAAGGATGTGGATTGGATAAAGGACAAGTGTGTATGAGAGAATACAGAATTATAATGAAAGTCTCCTCAATAGTAAAGTAAAATAGTTTTCCATTTTATACTTTGTGTTCTCAGCTTTCTTTCCTCCAAGATAAATAATTACATTATCTCCAAGACTTAGAGCAATGAAGACTTCCAAAATCCTTTTTAGAAATTCCAGCATCTAACATTTACTTTTGTGAAAAACTTTTTCATATTTTGTATCCATATTTCTTTAATTTGTCTCCATATTTTTACAATTGATCCTTCATACATTTCCACCTTATTCAACAAATATTTATTGAAAATCTACTATTCAGGTACTCTACTGAGGTCTTGATATACAACAAATAAATACCAGCCCTCAAAAATCTTACATTCTAGTTGAGAGGAGGCACTCAAGTATATAAACAAAGTGTAAAGAATTACTAAGTTCCCCCTCAGCTTTCTTATCCCAAAATAATAAAACTCAGTTACTTAATCTGTATGTGGTCCAGACCAGAAGACAAAGGACAGCAACTGGGTCAAGAATCTTATCAATATAATTGGTAAATAATTTTTTTTCCTATTTATACATGAGATTTTCTTTTCTAATGGTTATGATAGAGAACAAGCTTTTTCAAATGGCTAATTTCTCTACTGAACATAAATTGGTTCTCCCTTCCTTAAATGAAAGAATTGATACTTTCAGTTAAAGCACACACACACGTATATATATTTAAATTTCAGTTAGTACCATATTGCCCTGCATATATTTCAGTGTTAAATTGTGAATATAGATTAAAATACTCTTTTTAACCTTAACAATAATTTTTTTCTGATAACTTCCAACTTAAAAATCAATTCCAACCTTATAGTCTTCTAAATATACATGTTTTTGTTAGGTGCTATCCAATCGGTTCTGACTCCTAGAGACCCTACGGATAACAAAAGGAAACACTGCACGGTCCTACGCCATCTTCACAATTGTTGCTGTGTTTATATTCATTAGAAAGTTCAATTGCATTTGTGATTAAATAAATTTGATGTTCTTGTCCTAAAGATTTTTATTATTACAGTCACGAGCTGCGTAACATCCATTCGGGCGAAGTCTGTCCACATACACGTCCATGGTCCCATAAAGCTGAGATGCTCGTTGCCATCAAGTTGATTCTGACTCATAGCGACCCTGTAGGACAGAGTAGAACTGCCCCATAGTGTTTCCAAGGAGCTGCTGGTGGATTCGAATTGCCAGCCTTTTGGTTAGCAGCTGAAGGCTTAACCACTGTGCCGCCAGAGATCCTAAGGTTATTATATAATAGAGTTCAGAAATACTGGAGAACAGGATGTAGCAGACTTAACCAGACCTAGCGAATGAAACAGCAACCTGAATGTAACGTGTATCTCATGTCTCTTGTACACAAAGTGATTGCACTGCCAGGTGTATAATGGTACAGTACGTATATAACCTATAATATATATGTCTTGATAGTCATAATAAATGCCTATGTTACTGACTTATGTATACTGTACTATACTGTATTTTCTATTGTTATTTTAATGTGAACTTTCCCTACTTACAAATAAAAAGTTAACCATATAACAATGTTTGCTTCCACTCGTAGGCAGTAGCCTCCAATCTCTTGTATCGTTCGTCCTGAGTGTTGTAGCGTTGTCTCTCTGTTTAATTTTCTTTCAAAAATAATACTGTGAAGTTCACCATGACTCCCAATCACAGCAAAACCAGTGCTAGTGATAGCAGCAGCGAGAGGCAAAAAGATGTATCTATTTGTAAGTGAAACAAAAGGTAATTAAACAACATGAAGGTGAAAAAACCAGTGAATGTTATTGCTCGTGATCTAGGCATGTTCACACAATGTACAAATCACACAACGTCCTATTTCACAGAACATATAGTGGGCATTAAGCGATGCATGACTGTATTTTTAATAAAGAGGTTTTGGCTTAAGCTTATTAGTTTTTAGCACACTAGTTTTATTTTATTGAAATATTTTAATTTTCAAAACATCAGGCAATAATTCACAGATTTTTAGATCGAGCATAATTTATACCATTTTTAACATCTTTCAGACAAATTGAGATACACTTTCTTTAAACAATCCTCTTGGGAAAATATTTCAAGCACGCTTTAAGTTTGGTAGTAACAGCTTAGCATTTTTCAGTGAAATACACTTTAAATTAATTTAATAATATAGCTTTGTTAAATCATATAGCAGTAGAAACTGTCAGAGAATTAAAATGACTCAGCAGCAGCCTTACTAACATTCAATGAAAACGTTTGCATCTTTTTACAAATTTGTATTTATTGTGTCTCCAAATCATTGACGTTCAGTATCACTAAGAATGCATACACTGCCCATCTGTTGTCCTACTGTGGTGTCTTGCATATTGCTGTGATGCTGGAAGCTATGCCATTGGTGTTTCAAATGCCAAGAGAGTCACCCATGGTGGACAGGTTTTTAGTGGAGCTTCCAGACTAAGACAGACTAGGAAGAAAGGTCTAGTGATTTACTTCAGAAAATTAGCTGATGAAAACCATATGGATCACTACAGAATATTGCTTGATACAATGCCGAAAGAGGAGCTTGCTTAGGTTGGAAGCCACTGAAAATAGACATTGGTCGCAGCAATGGACTTGATTATACTAAAAATCATAAAATTGGCGCAGAACTGGGCAACACTTCGTTCTGCTGTACATAGGGTCATCATGAGTTGGAGCCAGCTCCACAGCAGCTAATAACAAGGAGGCATGGCTTTCTACCACAGTTAGCATATGATCCTATCTCCTTAGTAGCAACTTCAAACCATACCTTTCAACAGCTTTTGTGCCCTCTCCCCTAACTTGCAGCAGATAAACATACATCACTGAGAACTCAGTTTCTGAAAAGCTTCCTTCTGTCCTGTCACCTGGGCAAATTTTTTCTTCTCTAGCAGTGGATGCAACAAAGAAAGATAAACAAAGTAGTTGAAAAAATTCAGAAAGAGCAAAATGTAGTGTGAGAAAGCAAAGTGGCTCTTTCCTCTGGTCAGAGGTAGGAGTTAGAAGAGGAGGAAGGAAAACAATTTCCCTGTGAAGCTGGTTATGTTAGGATTGAAATTTGAATTCTGTGTGTCTCTTTTATATTTTTTAATTAATGTTACTTGTTTAATGTTAAATGAAGTTTATTTGTAAATTCTCAAGGACTACTTTTGTGTTCAGAGGATTTAGAGAAAGGAGCTTCACTTCCATTTTAATGAGAGCCATAGAAGGAACACTGCACTTCCGAATAAGGGCGATGGCAGAAGAGGCAAAGGGAGTGAAAGAAGAAGGTGCCATTGGCATCAAGGATCCTGGGGAAGGTGTGCCTGGCAAGGACTCTTCTGAGTCTTCTCTTTTAAAACCTCAAATGATTCTATTTGTTTGTAGAAAAAAGATTGCATGATTACATCCCCATTCAGAACATATGCATGTTGAATTTTATTATTTTCAGATTCAATGTTGCTAGATTTGACTCATTTTTTATGCCTGTCAAAATCTTTCAAAATTCCAATTCTGTCATTCAGCTTATTCAATCATTCCTTCCAACCTACTTATGACCTAGGTTAGTATGTCATCAGTGTCTTCATCTAAATATTATTGGTTATATAGGTTGAATGTAATCTAGTCTTATGCCTCTAGAAAACTCCACTCCAGTTGGCATACATTTCATTATCTGGTATACCCTTTGTGTATAGTCATTCAATAGTGAATGAAGACAATGTACAGTTGTGTCACAAGTCCACAAAACTGTAATATTGTCTATCTTATCCACATAAATACCATCTATTAATTCATTAATCGGACATGTGAGGCAGGTTGTCACTGCCTATGTAACATCCAGATGTCTATACTACATCACTTGTCTATCAAGCTAGAAACCCAGCAGAAAATGTTTACATGAGATCATTGCAAGATCACAATGTAAAAAAAAATAATAATTTCTATATTTGTAGCTTATCTTCAGAATTATACTTATTAAAATATGGTATTTTATTATCATTTTAAATAAAAATATTAGATAAATTATGTTTTTAATTTAAGACATATTACACTTGGATTTTCTAAGATTCTGATGTGTGTGATTTTTAAAATCACATTTTCATTTTTAGTGTATTTTCTTCCTCACACATTCATTAAACATAAAATGCCATTAGATACAAAACAAAAGAGATTGAAATTAATTTACATCCATCTTTTTTGAGGTAGTTCTTTTATTTCAGTTGCTTGGTAATTTGATAGAATAATTTTTCCTAAGGCCACCCTATGATGTTATTTGTCAAATAGCTATAAAAAGGCTAAAACTGACATATCAATTTATGGTTTCCAAAATAAGTACCATTCATAACAAGTATATTTTATTCTTTATGAGGTTAGAAGAAAAAAGATTTTGCAAAATTAGTATTGAACAATGCCTACATATTTCACCTATTTGTACTATATGCTTGCATGTCAAATTTATTAGTGACAAATATAATTAATTAGTTAGTAAGGAATTACTTACCAATGGAGATAAGAGATGGAAATAAATGTTTCCATAAAATAAATTCTGATATTGTTACCCAGTTCTGGACATGCACTTGTAATCCTTCTGCCATTAAGTCATGAAGAGAAGAAAGGGGGAAAAAAAAGAGATAAGAAGAAGAATAAAATGATGTAAGTAGAGAAGAAGAATAAGAGATATTAAGACAGGCATTTAGATTTTTTTCTAAACCTTAGAAATGGGTAAACAGTAATGGAGTATCAAAACAAGTATATATATGATGATTAAGATTATGTGTCAACTGCTAGGCCATGATTTTCAGTGGTTAGGCAGATATTATATAATAATGCTCCATGTTGTGATCTGATGTGAGCAGTCAGTTGAAAGGGCAGTTTCCTTGGAGGTGTGGTCCACATCCAATATATATGGATGTTCTGGCAAAGCTCGCCCTGTCTTGATCCTGCATCTAACTCATCATCCTCTGAACTCTAGTGCTTGGGACATGAGCCAGCAACCCACCATCTGATCGGCAGATTTTGGGATTCGTGAGCTCCCACAGCCCTGTGAGCCAGCAACCTGATGTCTGACCTGCTGATTTGGGGTTCGTCGGCCCCCACAACCATGTGAGTCAGGAGAAGGAGAAGCCTCCAGCCTGACACCTGATCCACAGGTATGGGACTTGCCAGCCTCCACAACTTTGTGAGCCATTTCCTTGAAATAAACCTCTCTCTCTTTCTCTCTCTCTCTCTCTATATATATATACAAATATATACATATGCTTCACAGTTTTGCTCCTCTGGAGAATCCAGCCTAAGAATATATATATATATTTTCATTAAGATCAACTCTACTTTCAGGAGGCAACTCTTCCCCAGGTGTTTTTTGAGTGCCTCCCAACCTGAGGGCTCGTCTTCTGATACTATATTAGACAATGTTTCGCTGCTATTCATAAGGTTTTCACTGGCTAATTCTTTTCAGAAGTAGAACGCTGAGTCCTTCTTCCTAGTCTGTCTTAGTCTGGAAGCTCAGATGAAACATGTCCACCATGGGTGATCCTGCTGATATTTGAATACCAATAGCATATCTTCTAGCATGACAGCAACACACAGGTCCCCACAGCACAACAAACTGACAGATATGTTGGGGGACAAATAAGATAGATTAATTTAATAGAAATAGCAACTGATGTGTGCTACAAGCTTACACTGTTACTGTCAATTTGCTGTGTTTTTATCTAATTTTCATATATCAAGAAGGCTTAATAGGTTAAAAACCTTTCAAGGTCACAACGTTAGTAAAAATGTTAAAACGATAATGTGAGCTGTTTCATTTCCTATTTCTACTTTTTAAGCACTGGGATGTATTTTCTCATCATTATGTTTAAGGCCATAATCATTCTCTGTTATTTATATGTATGAACAAAGAGAGAGAGAGAAAGAGCCCTGGTTGCCTAATGGTTATGCACTTGACAGGTAACCAAAAGGTCAATGATTCGAACACACCAGTGGCTCCATGGGAGAAAAAACCCGGTGATCTGCTTCTATAAAGATTACAGCCCAGGAAACCCTATGGAGCAGGCAGTTCTACTGGGTCCTACAAGATCTCTATGAGTTGGAAGCGACTGGACAGCACACAACACAGCATATATATATGTGTGTATATATATGTGTGTGTGTATGTGTGTGTGTGTGTAATGATGGTATTGGGCAAATCCACTGCAAAAGGCTTCTTCAAATTGTTAAAAAGCAAAAATGTCACTTTGATGCGTGCCTGACCCAAGCCATAGCATTTTTAACTGTCTCATATGAATGCGTAAGGTGGACAATGAATAAGGAAAACCGAAGAAGTACTGATGCATTTGAATTATGGTGTTGGCAAAAAATTTTGAATATACCATAGACTGCCAGAAGAATGAACAGACTTGTCTTGGAAGAAGTATAGTCAGAATGTTCCTTAGAAGTGAGGACAGTGAGACTTTGTCTCATATACTTTGGACATGGTATCAGAAGGAACCAGTACCTGGAGAAGGACATCATGCTGGTAAAGTAGAGAGTCACTGAAAAACAAGACCTTCGATGAGATGGATTGACACAGTGGCTACAACAATGGGCTCAAACATAGCAACGATTGTGAGGACAGCAGAGACCAGGAAGTGTTTCGTTCTGTTGAGCATAGGGTCGCTATAAGTTTTAACCAACACAATAGCACCTAAAAACAGTAACAAAACATGTATATATATATATATATATATATATAAAATATTTACACTTTTTCCTCATTACTAGTATTTTCTTGAATGAGAGGAACATTAAATACTATGGAACAATAATATATTGTTGAAATACATTTCATCTTAAAGTGATTACAAATGTGTATTACTCTGTTCTGGGTTGGTATATTCATCCTCTTTTTTGGATTTCCTCTAAGAAGTTACTGAGACATCTGCTCTTTTAATAAATATTTTTTGGGCATCCATCATGGGTCAAGCACTTTAGTATGTACTGGGAATACATATGGAAGACAAGATCCTTTTTAAAAGGGCTTAAAAGTCTAGCAGAGAAGACAAAAATGTAAACATATGATTGTGTCATGAACTATAACAGAGGTGCTTTATTACAAACTTTTGGGATTTGACAGGAACAAATTATCAATTGTGTCTGGATGGATCTGGAAAGCCTTCATACATGGGTGAGGACATTCTTTCAAGGGATCTTAGGTATAGGCAGAAGATCAACAGATAAATGAGGGACTATGCAGACTTTCTAAGTAGAAGAAAAGATGGGTAATAACACAAAGTCAGGCATGGAAGAGAGTGGTGAGTTTTAAAAATTGTAATACCTCTAATATGACTGTACCTTACTGCAAACTTAGGAAAGGCAGTGAAGCTAGAGCTGTGGGCAAGGCCAAGATTGTGAAGGGCCATAGAAACCATGCCAGGATTGTAGATTTTATTCTAGATTCGGTGGAAGGGCACTGAACAGTATTAATCTAGAAAAATCAATGTCATCTTTACATGGGAAAAGGCATTCTATCCCATCCCTAATGTCACCCACCCTGTAACAATGTGGAGGATGGAAAAAAGAAATAAAGCAAATAAAGACGCTTGACACTTCTAATACAACATCAAGATGGCCTGGGCTCACCCTCTGCAATGAGTCTTGATGCTAAAATATTAATTTAAAAAATTATCAGGATAATAGGCTGCTATTTTCTGTATCTGAGGATAGCCCTTGAGTACTGAGAGCCATGTTGGGTTGGTTTGTCTATTGTCAGGAATTTTTTTTTTCTAACGTTTCCTATCGTTATATCCTAAGGCACCTTCCCACCAGTGCAGCTGCCACAGTGTTTTCCCTTAGCATCTCGCCTTGTTTTGCTGCTCTCCATCTCAGTAGTTTCATACCTGAGGCCAATTTGTAGTTCTCTCCTGTAGTTAAACCAGCTGTCTTCTAATAACATTGTTGATTTCTCTCAATGGAGAGTACAGAGAGCAGTCTTTTACATTATCATAACATTTGTAAGACATGAGCCCTAAAGGATCTGAGAAAATCTATAGAATGAAAAAACATAAAAGAAGTTGCTCAAATTTTTTAATGTTTCCAGAAAATGAAATTGCAATAATAAGAAATAATGGCAGTCACATTCTTATTACTGATTCTGAGGAGTGCTGGTCTTTCAAGTTGTATAAAAAAATGAATGTCCATTGAGGCTCTGCATCTGTTTAAGTCCCAGAACAACTTGGCAGGGGAAGAAAAGAATGGAAGTGGTAACGTCAAGCTTTAAACCATTTAAATGGGAAAGTATTTGTTTTTATTATCAGCATAATAGGCTTTGAGTAAGCAC